CACTGAGGTACTTTGTTATATAAGGCAATGAAAATATGTATGATTTCAGATGCATCATTGACATACCAGGCAATAAGCATATTAACTAGTTGAAACACAAAGCTTAGAGGGCACACTCATACTGACATACATACCTTATATCTGTGTTGTGATATGCCATAATCTCCAATTTTGACCGTCATATCTACAGAAACTACACAATTCCTGGCAGATAAATCACTGAAATAAAACAGTTGTAGTTAATAATAATTTCAAACAGGCATGGACAGATGTATAGTGTTAGAATTTAGGATTTTACCACCTTCAAATTGATTTGTTTTATGTTGCATTGTAGTATTTAGCTGATTGACATGCATTGTGGATAATGTTAAGCAGAAATGTACATTTTCAGAATTAAAATGGCCACCAGTCGGCTATTGTTGTTATGTATTTTAATGAAATTAAAAATGAAATTTGAATGTATTTTTGAAGAGTAATTCCAGTTGGATGGACAGAGTGGTAGAAGAAGCCTAATACACTCTTTGGGGTCATTACATCAAAAGCTGTGACATCATATTTAAATTGCTGTACGAATATCTACTTACTTGTGTACCATATTGGCTCTATGCATGTATTCCAAACCATTAGCAATCCCACATGCCATGCCTATCAAGACCCCACTCTGAGACAGCGTGGTAGCTTCCGATCTACGTCGCAGCAGAAACCCTTTAACATCACCCTGGTAATAAATAAAACAATTCATATACTGTAAACACGTTAATTATTTACTGGTTTTCAATTTCGTTATTTTCATTGGTAAGTAAAATTTGCTAAAATAAATCAATGCAAACATGTAAAATAACAATAGAGTATTTTGTTTCCTTCCCAAATTTGTGAATTTAAAAACCCAGTGAAATTGTTCGAAACATCCAAATAGTGAAATTGAATGCCAGTGAAAATATATGGTTTTACAGTATTTATTTATTGCACTATATTTAATCGGGATGGTACAATTCATTTTCTATGATTTATAATGGAGTACAAACAAAAATTTAAATAACGAAATATACATGAAAGGTTAAAAGCTGCAATCAATTTTAGGAGTCTCATAAAAATTAATTTTTACGAGAATATGGCAAAGCAAGCACTCAGGATCGTACAGGCAGTAAAGGGTTGAATCAACTTCAACTACGTGCCGGCCGTTAATATACGCCATCATGCATACTTTTCGGTATTTTCGTGAGAAGCTCATAGTCTTGCATATCACAAACACTTGCGTATGCTTCATCACTCGTCTGCACATCAAGTATAGAGCAATTATACCACTCAAAACAAATTAGGAAACATTGGAATCATCTCAGTTAACAAGATAATTTATTTCAGGAAAACACAATGTTTCACTGAAATTGATGAGATACATCTGCACAATGAAAGAAATGCTGAAGGATACATGTTGTGTTGTCACAGGATCACAGAACTGGTCACAGGATCTCATCTTTGTCTGTACAGTGAGAATTGGTGCAGTTGGACAATTGGATAGTGACACAGTTTGTATTTTTAATTAAATGAGCCAAAATAAGTAGTATCTAGACATAACAGACACTGACTCAAAGAAAGTCAGAGTTAATATAGCCCATGATTATTATAAACATGGTTGAAATTGATCAGTCTAAATGCTATAAGTCACACTAGTCGTTACCCTGGATTGATAAGCATGTGCCACCTGTTTGACAGATCATTATTGCTACAACGTTTTAATGGCTGTACCATTGATAAGCTTCCAATTATTGTTTTAGAAAATGATCAAACAAAAACAAAATGCTGCATCCTGTTTATGTTGAATTGCCAAGCTGAATTGATTTCCACTGTAACACAATCCAGTTAAGTTGATTGAGAGAGGTTCTGTGTTGGTAAGTAAAGCCACTCTGTGACACAATGCTGCCACCTCTAAACAGGTTGTGCTGTCAGATGGTGGCATTTATGAAACATTCACCAGGGTGTAAGTTGACACGAATATGGCCATCATTATTCTGCAGAGTGAACTTTGACTCATCTGTGAAGAAAACCACTATTGACATATCCATTGCCTGTGTTGTCGAGCCTAGACAAAACAATGTCTGCCATCTTGGTTTGACATTCTCGACCTCAGACGGTTCCCCACAGTATGGTCACTCATACTAAGGACATTGCTAGTTACGGTTCATCGCACTTGACCCAAACTTATTTGTTCCCTAAATTGTTTTGAGTAGTATATGACACACTGATTTTAGACCGCCATTAATTACTGTAAAACACGTCTTTTTAGCTAGCATGTCATAATAGCTAATTTAGCTAACATGGAATTTCGCTAATTCAAGATGTCGTTAATTTAGAATAAAGTATATTCTCACAATGAGATTATTGGTATTTTAGATAAATTAAGATTCAGTTAATTCATGCATTGAGTCAAATTCACTAAAATGGCATGTAGCTATTTCAATGTGTTTTACAGTATGTGTAGACAAGTAGCACTTGATATCCATCTATACAAATCGATAAAGTCATTTCTAGCAGAGATCTGTACACACCATGACTTGCACAGAAAGCAAAGGCACAAATTGTGAAAACAATTGCAGAGCTTCAATTGTATCTACTTACAAAAGCACAGAATTCCATTATGACAAGATACGGCATGTTTTCAGTACACTGTCCAACCAGTGACAGTATATTAGTATGCTTCAATTCTCTGAAAATAACAAGAAATACTTACATGTTACAAAATGTAGTGTCAATTATAACAATCTTGTATGTTTTGCTATGTAGTTTTCAGAAAGTACATACTAACTAATGACAAGGTCAATTTAAAAGTAAATTTCAGAATTTGAGGAATTGAGGAATTTTATGTTCTACAACACTGAGCCTCAGTGACTTTTTTTAAATTTTGTTTTCATCAATGCTATAAAATACTGAACTCGCAAAAATTGCTAGCAGTAACAATTGAATAGTTACAGTATATACAAAATGTAATACTAAGGCATTTATCTGGGAGGGGAGATAGACAGAAGAAAACTGTGAAAATAATTTGGTTTTTTCACTAAGTTTTATGCTAGGATTTTTGCTTTAATTTTTTTCTTTACCATATGTGTGGGTGGTTTTTTTATAAACATAGTGTCTTATTTGCATTTTTTTTAAATTTTGTGTGAAAAATATTGTTAAAAATGTTTGAATGAAGCAATCGTCTTTGCTTTATGCAAATAAATATTAGATTAGCACATGCTATTAAATGTGTTCTCAAAATGAATTCATCACTTATCAGACATGAATGAAAACCAAAATCCTGGAGCCTCTGTACTGGTATTATTACTCTTCACAGATACAAGACTGTACAAAGACTGTACAAGTCCCGGTTTAATTTTGAATAACAATAACTAATAAAATATACAAGTAACCTGTAGAATACTGTGTCGGTAATATTTTTTATATTGATTTTTGTTGCATTTGCAGCAAATAGTTACCAAACAATGAGAAATCTATAGGATTGAATATACCCCACAGCTGGCTTCACATGCATTGTTCATAGTACATATGGTGCTTACACCAGGATTTAATTACAGCACCTAGGCGGTATGTGGTTACAGCTTAATGTTCGAGTAATCGCAAGAAATTGACATGACAATAGAAATTCATTAAAGACTGCCACTCCCATGCAATTAACAGCGAGTGAAATTCCTGGGATTGAAACATATATTTTGAAGTCACTGGTGTAGGCAACGAATAACTGCAAGTTGACATAAAGACGAGGTAGTTTATTTAATCAGTGGTCAACTAGAGGCTGAAATTATAATTAATTTGTTTATTTCAATTTCTCCTGACGTCAAATAGAATACACTGGTGAAACATGGTAGTAACTGTGGGTGAAA